TTTATGCCTATTTGTAAAAATACATGAATAATACACTATATACATGGAATAATACATGTATAATACATGAACGAAAAAATATCATGTATTATATCCACCCTAGATATAATGCATGGACTTGATAAATGTTATCAAAGCTTTTCTACTTATATCACTTTATTGTTATAACATACGGGTGTTAAGATGTCCCCAGCAAACTACACGAGGCTTGTTTGGCTAGTTTTATCAATTTACTTTCCAAGAATTGCAAATAACCTCGTTAATCTCCCGGCCATGATGTACTTAAGGTCAAAATATATTAGTTTATATTTAATAGTTTTCCAAGAATAAATACATTCCTATCTGGAGCAATTTCAGTGGAACATTTATCATGGTTGTTGAGCACATTTTTAATTCATAATGTCTGGTAAATAATTTTGAAAAATAAATTAAGCAATATGTAGATACAGTGCAAGTAATTAATTAAATAAATAAAATGCTTAACAACAATTGTAATTAATAACATTAATTTTTCGTATAATTAATTATTTGGCTCTAAAAAATAAATGTATACTAGCATAGATACAATTGCGGTACTTTTAAACATAATTATTACATTTAAAAATGTTAATTAATTTAATGTTCAAGGCAATATTTGTTATAAAGTTACGTGTTAAGTAAATTTGTGTCGTAAATTGTGTAACACAACCAGGGATTATTTAAGATGTTTATAGTGCTTACGAGTTTGGAAAAATTAAAATGAATGCCGTAATAATCCAGGTACACATACACCATGATTAATCGACAGACATATGATTTGTTTAAAAAAAATTACATATTTGTGATAATTGATTAGATAACCGTTAGCTCGAGTACTTTGAAAATTCCTATAAATACCGGAAAATGCTATGAAATAGTTATTACATTTTATAGATTTTTTTATAAAACTTTTTATAACTAGCTATAAAATAATCACAATTTTTCCGACAATGAATACATTCTTTGTCTCACTATTGTTGACCGGTTTGGTAGTCGCTATTGACTGTAAGCGAGGTAATTATTGTCACCTAATCATGATAATATATTACAATTTACTCACAACTAATATATTAAATTTAATTTCGATTTGATATCTATAGAGGCTAAGTTTGCCCCGTACATCTATGTACCACGTTCAAATGAGTTCAAACTGACCCACATGAAACAGCAGTTGGGTGTGAGTGCCTTTTCACTGGCATTCGCATTGGGAGGCTCTGGTGGTTGCACTCCCATGTGGGACGGGGACATACCTATAGATGAGGCCAATATTGTCAAAGAGATTAAGGCGTTCAGAGCGGCCGGCGGTTCGCTACTTGTGTCGACCGGAGGCGCCGCCGGGAACTACTTGGAGAACGCCTGCCGTTCCGTCAATGAACTCAAGAACGCCTATAAGAAAGTACTTTCAGTTACCGGAGCGTCGGGTCTGGACATTGACATCGAGGCCGTCATTCCTACCGATACTGTGATGCAAGCCTTGGCTGAGTTGCAGAAAGAGATCCCATCCCTCACTGTTAGCTTCACTCTTGAGGTAAGAAATTGTTTAATATTTGTCGACAATTTAGAAAAATTATTTCTATAATCAAAATCTAATCATAGTATTTAAGCAAGGCCCAAAATTCAAAGACTTTAAAAGCTCCAGTTTTTAAAAGCCGTAATATTTATTAATAATATCACATATATTTAAAAATAACTTACAGTTTGTGTCAAGAATTATATAAACTAACCGGGCATAATTTTATACAGTTCACCATTAATATTCAATATATAAAATTGTATCATTAAACAAATAGGTGCAAGGTGACGACTACGGCCTGACCGACGCCCTGGGAGTGGACGTCCTAAAGAATGCGGTCAAACACGGCGTGAACGTGGATATCGTGAACCCAATGGCAATGGACTTCGGCGCGAGTGGTGGCCGTTCGTGGGGCGACGCCGTCATACATACCGGTGACTCAGTAGTGAAGCAAATGAAGAAAATATGGCCACAAAAGTCAGAGTCGGAGCTCTACGGTATGCTTGGAGTGACCCCCATGTTGGGCGTCAACGACAATGGGGTGGTGTTCACTCTGGCACATGCACAACAACTGGTCAACTGGGCCAACCAGAAACAGATCGGTCACCTCGGTTTCTGGGATATTAACCGCGATAAACAGTGTTCAGATGATAGCCAGGTCGGCGCCAGTCCCTCGTGCTCAGGTATCCAACAGCAACCATACGCTTTCACCAAGATCTTTATGGGATTTAAATAAAATTTATTTAATGCTATGATTGTATATTGTAATACTCCCCCCAATGTTCCCAATACTCCCCCATAATATTCCCATTTGTTATAAACCACTGTAAACCCCTCCCACACCCAAACTAACCTATAAAACATTTTAAAATTTATTATATAATTTACTGTAAAACCTATACTCACCTGAGTTGTACCACAAGCCTAAAGCGGTAGACTTCGAGCACTCTTAGTGTATGTTTATATCGTTTTATTAATAAAGTATTAATTCCTTAATTTGATGTAAATTTAATATAATAATAATAATAATCACAACTCCCAACTCACCGGTAATACAGAATATTCCGTAAGGAAATTCTATATTACAATATTTTCATTGTATTATACTTCAACTTTCCATAATACATATAAGTACAGTACATTAATCAAATAATTATCACTCATGGCTATTATCATTATGTATTATATAACATTTTAAATTATCACTACGTACTATGGTATTTCAATACCACCATGATCTAATGATTCGTCACGCTCATTCAGGTACGATCATACCCGTTGAAATATGGTATTAATATTAAGTTCAAACACAGAAGGTTAAATAATTAGCCTAGGACACCTTTTTCAAAAATATTTTTATTTCAAAAGCAAAAACATTTGCACAAAAATTAATAAAACATTTATTTAAAACCCATAAAAACCTTAGTGTAAGCGTAAGGTTGCTGTTGAACCCCTGAACAGGAGGGCGATGCACCTGGCTTATGATTATCGCTACACTGTTTATCGCGGTTAATATCCCAGAAACCAAGGTGACCGATCTGTTTCTGGTTGGCCCACTCGACCAATTGCTTTGCGTGGTCTAAACTGAACACTACGTTATTGTCGTTGACTCCGATCATAGCCGTGATCCCTAACATCCCGTATAAATCCTGTTCCGACTTTTGTGACCATATTTTCTTCATTTGTTTGACTACTGAATCACCCGTACGTATGACGGCTTCACCCCACGGACGCCCACCACTGGCCGGGAAGTCCATTGCCATCGGGTTTACAATATCGACGTTAACGCCGTGACTGACCGCAGATTTAAGGACATTCACACCCAACTCGTCAATTAAGCCGTAGCTGTCATCCTGGACCTTTTGCACAATAATTATAAATTGAAATACTTTAGTAAATAATAATTGACATGAAAACTAATATTTATAATTAAGAGCTAAGAGTGAATACTAACAAACATTAATAAAAATGAAAATATTTTAGTATCATCATTAATAAAGAATCATTATTTAAACAAAATGTTTAAAGTGTTCATGTACTGTACTAATAGCCTAGTTTAATTATAATTTTTATCAAATATTTTAACAGATTATAGTGATTAATGTAGATAAATTAATTATTAATCATAAAAACATGTAAGTGGAAATCTTTTGTAAGACAAACTGTAATTAAATTTAAAAATTCAAGTTATAATAAATATAACTATTATTTTATTTTAAACCTGGTCTAATCACATTCCTCCCATAATTTTAATTTTCTGTGATTCAGATATTTTTAGATTATTTATTAAATAAACCCTTACCTCAAGCGGAAAGCTAACGGTGACCGACGGGTTGTCTTTCTGGACCTGAGCCAAGGCTTTCATCACATTATCCATAGGAATGTTTGTTTCGATATCAATGTCCAGACCGGAGGC